GAATGTGAAAAGAGAGGAAGGGAGGAAAATGAGGTGCTGGGGAACCAAAGGAAAGGAAGCAGAGGAAATGGGAGATGAAAAGGGAAAGAAATGCATTATAGAGAAGTTACACAGAAAGAGAGAAGGAAGGGCACTCTCCATTACTAAGTAATTAATTTACACATTTTAGTCGTACCGTTTTCCTTCTAATGCTTCTCCTAATAGTCTAAGATCACTGGTCTTGGGATTTTAAGGACCTTGTCTCAGCACTGACCTGCCAAGGCCCTCTCCCCCCCATCGTGCCACAGAGCTGGCAGCCCATGTTCACTGAGCGATGGCCTGCAGCCTTTCTTCCCCATGCAAAGCAAGGGCCTGGGACCAGGCCTCCATGCTTAGCACACCTGTCTTTGGATGAAATCTTGTGCTGCACGACCCTGTGCCTGCCGCTGGAGAGGATTAGGCATTGTTAGTTAGCGATCAAGGGCATGAGGAGGGGAGACGGAGTGTCGGGGGTGGGTGCCTCCATCACAGGACTGATGTGGGAAGGGAGTGAGGATTTAAGCCTTGCCTGTCCTGTTTTCCAGTGCCCGCTGCCAGCTCACTTTGTAACGGCACAGTGTTTGCTGCTTTCCACCCCACATCCTGCACTGCCCTGTCAGTGCAGCCCAATCCCACCCAGGGAGAGGCATTGCACTTGGAACCCCGTATCAGTGAGTATTACCTGGGTAGCTCCAAACCAGTTGGTGCAGGGAGAAATGCTTTTCTTAGGGGCCTGGGTTGACCTCTTCACTGTCCAAGGACCGGGCTCTGGTGTCCAGTGTCCTATTTGAATCAGTCACTGCTAGTGAATGGCCATTCCTCTATGCAGAGATGTTGAGGAGCTTAGGTTGAGACATGGACTTGAGGGCTTAAAAAGAAAACTGAAATGAGTTTAGGACCCAGGGACATTGGGCCTGTGTGAAAGGGATGTGTCCAGAAGGTCCATGCAGCCAATCTTTGCTGTCATCTGGTTTCCCAGGACACAGAGATGACAAAGGAGGAGCTGACACCACATTTACTTTTCTGAGTTCTGTCCCATGTTCTTGTTTTAATTGCTCTGCCTTTGTGAGCAGCCTCTGCTGGCACTGGGATCCTCCTCGCTCCCTGCCCTGGGGGGAGAGAGGGGCATGTTTTCTTTAAACTTTCCATCTCCTCTGTGACAGTTTCCATTAGTGGTTTGACACCCCTGTGCTTCTTCCATGAGGGCCTTGCCTTTACTCTGTCTTTAATCATGTTGTCATATGATAATAGGATCAAAAGGAAGAACACTGAGTCTTGCCTTTCTGGAGTGCTTTATACTCACCCTAATAAACAGCTTATGCTTGGGATAGTGCTGCAGCTAGCCTGCCCTCAGCCCCATCCTTTCTACACCATACTCATGCTGAACTTTAACCACTGGGCTGTCTGGCCTTGGCAGCCGTCCCCAGCCCAACAGCCATCCACTGTATAGGTCAGTCTGTGCTACCACGGTGTAAGCTGAGTAAAACCATTACAGATCAGACAGCACACCGAAGCACATGATGGGGTTTGCCTGCATTTCCATCTCTAGAAAAATCCAGGTTCTGCAGAACTTGGTGAAAATATTCAGCGTATGCATGTGTGTGCATATATCCAGGAGGAAAAGGGAGTTTGCACTTCTTAACACAGGAACTCCTGGAAGACTTGGCAAAGTCCTGAAGCAGTGGGAGTTGTTACCTGTCTGCTTTTGTGCTGTGCAAGACATTTTCAGAAAACTGGCTTCCTCAGAAGTCACACTCCTGAGCCTATGTAATGACTGCTGGAACTGCAGGAGCCTGTGTTCCCACCTCTGCAGCGGTGTGAGTGAGTCCGTGAATGGAAGGACCTATTGACGTGTTGCTTCTACTTTCATTACAGTAGCCTTGAGAGAGCTTGCTCAAGCGCAGGACCTCACTGAAGCATTTTGTGCACATAGTTAGAGATGGGACCTGCCTGAAAGATCTCGCAGGCCAGTTGGAAAAACAGTTGGTGCTCAGACTATCACATTAAAAATTAAGAAGTGCAGCACCAATGGTGTTTGTGATTCACTCTCATATGTAAAATTCCATCTGTGTCTTCTGAGCTGTAGTCCAGTGCCTTGCCCACACTGGTGATCCTTCTCTCTCAGACCCCAGAAAAAATGTCCAGATTTGATTAAAAAATGTCCAAAGTAGAAACTCCACCTCAGTTATCATCGCTTGCAGTTGCACATGTTCGTACTGAAGCCACTGGATCCAAGATTAGGTCTAAGAGATCATTATTATTGCTCTGGCTTTTCCTATTACAAATGTAACTGCTGCTGAAACACTGAATTGTCATCTCCATTCTGGTAAAATGGCTGGTTTAAATAGTTAAATATCTCCTTGGTCCTCTACACTAAAACATGTTTCCCAAATTCCTAACTACTCACAGTTTTTGTAAAGCCTCTTCAATTTATCTCTCTCTCTGAAATGAGGACATCAGAAATGGACACGGTGACACATATTTAGCACTTTCACCCTCGTTCTTTTAGATGTCTGAAAGCCTCCTTTGCTGTACTTTTCCCAGTCCTGCAATGAGAACAGATGGATCTCACTGTTCAAGTCTTTTATAGAGTTATTTCTTCTATGGATTGAGGGTCTCATCTTTTAAATGTGAGCTTTAAATGTTGTCTTTGTTTCTTACCAATACCCTCAACTGTGATAGACTTAGCCTGCTTTCTTAATAATTTTCTTCCATTTCTAGCCTTTAATTTATATGTAGCTGGTTTACATACACATTATCTTTATTTGTATCTGCTTTCATTTCCCTTCTAAAACACTGGTTTTTTTGAATCAGTAGAGCCTTCTCTGTTGACTGCAGCTTTTGTAGCCAATATCCTCAAGTGGTTCCTGATTATTTTAACAATTTTCTGACTTGATTGTATCTCCAAGTCAGCTGGGATCATAACCATTGACAATGTTGAGAAATGTTCCCTTTAAAGTATCAGGTATCTATATTATTGTTTTGGACTTCATGTAGTTTGCATAAAGCTAGGGTAACTAGATCACTGTTGTTTGTGTCTAAACAGTCTCTCCAATTCCCAGTTCTCCTCTGTCTGTCAAGGGGACATCCAGAAAAGAATTACCTTCTGTTAAATTAATCACTCTTTGAATTAGAAAATTGCCCCTTAAAAATACAAAGCTGGTTTAGAATTGTCCTGAGAACTTTGCTCTGTTGCATTCAGATTGTCCCATATGTTCATGAATTACAGATAGGTACTTACAAAGCTGATTTTCCTGTCCAAACTGATGATCTGTCAGAGTCACCAGGTAGCTCCCCTTGTGCTTTATTTCATTATTTATGATCATTGTCTCATTGTCATAGAGAATGACATTTTGTCAAATACAGGATGCTTCTTTTCCCATTTCCTTTTGTCTAGTATAGCATTTCTAAAGAGGTTATAATACCTGATATTAACATTTCGAACATATGAGTCTTCCCAGAAATTTTCAATACTACCAACTAGTTTTATGCCTAGAAATGAATAGTTTCAACTTGCCTTCTTACCGCAACTCCTGTTGTTAAAGTGTGGACAATCTCTAAAGAACCCATGTGCTCTACAGTGTGCATTTCCGCAAGGATTTTATTACAGTTCTGCAACCTCAGGAGACACTTGGATAAGGGCCAGCATGTGAGAATTCACCTACAAGTAACCTTCCAGCCTTCGGAGATTCATCCATCATGGCATTTACCATGAGTGATGCAGCAATGATCTCCTATACTCACATCAGAACCAGAGACCCATATACTGATTTCCAAGCTGCTTTCATGTGATGAGCCTTTAGTGGCAGACAGGGCTTTTTTCCGCCTGGCTTTATGTGTGTAGGCTTTTCATGGTCCCTCAGATAACATCAAGCTGCCTTTCAGTGCTGAAGACAAGGTCGTTTAGAATCATCCAGATAATAGAAATAGTGTCTGGTGTGAGCCAGAGTGATTAGAGTTGGCAGTAGTTCACTGGTAAAGAAGTAAAAGAATATTACAGATAGTCTTTGCTGAAATAAAGCTGTGGGGATTAGAGTTAACAGAAAACCTTGTTTTGGTTTGAGACTATGTTATCTGCTAGGAGCATTCATTAACAACATGTTCTAAAATAAATAAATGGCTCTTCACTAACAAGACATTGGGTAGAGATAAAGCATGTGTGGCACTCTATCAAATCCACAGGCAAATAGTCAAGTTCCCTGGTCCATTTTTTGCTGCTCTTTGTTTGCTCCTTTCACTGCATGTAAAGCCTGTTTCTCCAGGGATACATCTTGCACTTGCAGTTACTTCAATACAGATCATGGTGCCACTATCCTTCCCATTCCCTTTTCCCTCTCTCTGTGTTTTTTTTTTTTTTTTTTTTTGTTGTTGTTTGTTTGTTTTATTATAATTATAAATATAATTATTATTGTTATTGTTATTACTATTGTTATTATTATTATTTTATTCTAACATGTAAAAGGAAACTCACCCTCCTAAATCAATGGCTGTCTTGGGAAGAGCTGAAACAGAAGGAATATCACTCAAAGTCCCCCGAGCCCCTGTGAGCTGCAGTCTGGCTGTCAGCATCTTGGCAGATTTATGAGGATGGCCATGACCGGCTTGAAAGGGCAGAGGGGGGAGAAGAAGAGATCCCAACCCATTAGTAATTCCCTGCAGAAAAGTGACAGAGCTGATGACATGCATGGAGGACTCATTGCAGGGGATGGGCTGGGGGAGACATTCCCATGCAAGAATGACTTCAGGTCACTTCTGGCTTCAAGATTGGTTTACGCTAATGATCTATTTCTAGGCCCCCCATCCTTTAGCTTGTGATCTGTTATGTCACAATTTGGGCCAGATCCTGTGCTTTTTTTTTTCCTCTAGAAGAAAAGAATCACATGGAGATCAGTAAGTTTTGTGGACATGAGGTTTGCAGATCATGGATGATGAATGAGGAGCAGAGCCCAGAACTGAAGAGAGTGCCCAGAGCCTGCAACAGGATCACGGATACCACACTGGGTCATCAAACCACCCTGTGATGCCACAGATGTCCCCTTCACCACAGCAGACAGCCTGGCCTCAAAAAGAACTGTAAGAAGAAGAGTAAGTGACCTGGGACAGATAAAACCAATACCAGCCTTTCCAAGGTGTCAAACATTTTGTTGCATTGTTTTCAAAAGAATGATCTGTTCTCTTTAATTATTTTTCTTTGTCTTTTTTTTTTTCTTTTCTTTTTCTTGTTAGAACCAGAGATGAGAAACATAATGTTTCTAAGATACGTTTGTATCTGATATTTTTTCAGTATTTACTCAGATATCTAGTATGATGACAATAATGGGGGCTGTTCCCACAGAAAATGTGGATAGGATTGGCTAGAATTGCCTGAATATATTGTCAAACTGTCAATGTAACACCCACACTTGGAGCTGTTATTTATATGAGTAGTTGCCTTAACTACAAGGAGATGGAGATGTTTGGAAGTAAATGATCATAAGGAGAAAAAAGAAGAAATATAAATGGACACCAGCCAGCAAAGATGAGTGCAAGAAGCTGTAAAGGAAGAAAATGACCTCAATATGTTTATTGTATAAATAGCCAAAACTAGAAGAAAAATTATTTTTGTGGGATACTGAGGCCCATTTTGCAGACCTGTGATAATTAGAACAGTTTATGAAATAGAAACCACTTATTTAAAATGAGTCTCTGAACAGCTTTTGATCAACACTGGACCATATTTTTTATTCTACACATATTTTTCTCTTGCTATTAAACTATATGCTTCTGTTTCGGTGATGTGACTCATTTCAGTGATCCTAACTGAAATGCTTACCTGGCATTATCCATCAAAAGAGAGAAACAGTAGATTATCCATCATGTCTGAAAATCATGGGCTGAAAGTGCATAGATTTAGTATTAGTAGACTCAAATGTTAACAAATAAACTCTAGTTAGAAGAGCCTGTAACAAAGCCAGTGACAGGTAGAGAGGTCTTTGGAGGGATTTTTCTTTCTTTCCACCTAGAGAGGGTAGAGCTGTTTCAATAGCCAGCTAGACCACACTTCTCACCACCTGGGATGATGTGGTGCGGTGAGGTCCCTGTCACTTGCTGCTGTACAAACACCCAACAGAAAAAACCTCCCTGCAGAAAAGGTTTTGGTAAAGCAAACAGAGCTCCTTCTGCCCTGAAGCAGTGGGAGAGAGAAGTGCCAGCTTCAAAAATTCTGGTCTGTCTCAAAGTGCCCAAAGGGAACATGAGCACTTGTGTAACCTGGGTACCTCCAGGATGCATAGACAGCCCTCCCTGAGCTCTGCATTAGTGCTGTTCAGGTAGTTTGGCCTCTTTTAATATGTCCTCAGACATCACTACTTTGTTACAAGTTCAAACTTCTGGAGGAGCTGTCTTGTGGCTGCAATGAGAAGAGCAAGAAAGAACTTTGGGGCCAAATCCTGCAGCCTTTTTCAGCAGGGAAAATCAGGGTTATTCAATTGGTTTTAGTGGAATTGCTTGGGGTTTGCACTTAGCATTTGTAATTAGAGCAGGCCCTTTGTGATCTGGAGAGGACTAGTTATTATAACTATCTTCTTGAGTACAATTGTCATTAGCACACTTCTGGCTCCGAAGACGAGTGCAGGACTGCTTACAAACAGGACACTGCTGGGTTCACAGATTCTGTTAGTCATGTTTTCGCTATGATTTCTTCTTTATAACACAATAGCAGAAGCCCTGGGTGAGTTGCAGTAGCAGATGTTGTAATTCCAAATGCTGTGCCCAGGGGCATTGCCAATCCACAGGAAGCTAATGTTAAAACAGCAACCTTTCCAGGGCAGTTTAGCCACACCATAGAGATGCGAAACACCCACCCACCGAATCACCATACATTTCTTGCAAATAAATATCTTTGGTGAAAGGAAGTGAGAGATTGGCCAAAGGGAGGTGTAAGGAAGCTCTGAATTCTATTGAGAAATTACGTGGTCTGGTAACATGATACCAAGGCTGGAGAATGAAGAGTTACTATCATTTTCTCACTGGAGCTCCTACAAAACCCACCACCACTGTGTCTTCTGCCTGTCCTTTTGTCTTGTCCATTTAGTCTGTACAATTTCCAGGCTGAGAAGACTAAGACAGTCAGCCTCATGAGCTCTGGGTGAGGGTAGGTGTGAGGGGCCAGCCCTGTCAGGGTGGGACAGCATTGCCTCCACTAAGGGAGAGCCTGCCCTGCTCTGGCTGGGGACATGCAGGACTGTTGCTGACAGCAGCGATGGGTGGTGCTGGTGTGACGAGTCTCTCATCTGCTCTGAAGACTGGCAGAAAACTTAAAAAATATGCCAGGCATTTTTCCATCCAATTTATGAATAATGGCACCAGAAATGCCCTGTCAGTCCTGCTCTCCTGCATACCTCCTGGCTGGAAAGAGAAAACCAGCCGGGTCCTGTGAGGCCACAGCTTCCCTGTGCGATTGAGATGCAGTTGCCAAGCTGTGAGGTCTGAGAAGTGCTGTGTGTTTTTTTAAAGCCTGCAGGCAGTTCTGTTGACTGACGCTGCCCGAATGCTTTTCAGGAATGCTGACATATTTTCATGTTATCACTTTTCATGCAAACTTTTCCCTGAGAGCCTGCTTCTCATTGCTCAGCATTGCATCAGGGGAGAAAGAAAGAGAGGAGAGCTGTCAAGGCACATCAGTAGTTGTCGTGTTTGTACTGGAAGGTATATGCATAATGAAGGATAATATTTTCTGGCTGCAGAAGGTTGCAATATCCCAGTGTGAGATGCCTGTGAGTGATTCTGATATGATTGTGACAAGAAGGGATTTGTCTTGGGATACAGAGCCTTTTTGCATTTGGTCCCTTGTGCTAATCAGGACAAGTTTGGCAGGGATTGAAAGTCCATATCATCTGGTGACCCAAATGAATAGTTCCAGATGGACTGGGGCCCTCATCACAGTTGGTATCCTTATTGACTGGAGGGCCAAAGATGAATGAAAGGAGAGATTCACCATGGAGAAGGTCTGAGTACCTTGCTTTGCTCACGCCTTGTGGATGGAGAATTTTAATTCCTTGGCTTTATCAATGTGCCACATTATACAAACAATGGGCATTTCAATGCTAAAGAGAAAGGCAATAACATTTATGTAAGAGTGAACTTATTCCCTCCCTGGGACCCTTCCTATCTTGGCAGTGCTTGTCCAGCCCTGCTGCTTTGCAGTCTACCAAAGGGCTGTGAGACTGGGGGTATTCTTTCTCACAAGTAACACCTATATCTCTTCCCCATGCACCTAACCTGCAAGAAAAGGCCATGCAGTCCTCCCCTGCCTCCCAAGGAAGGTAGAGCCTGTGCCTGAAGAACCTGCACATCCATGTCTCACCCTGGGTCACGGGTCAGAAGAAAGACATATTCCCCTTTGAGGGAGAGGCTTATTGGGACACCTGAGCTGGAAGTGAAACTTGGAAATGTCTGTCAGCATATCCAGAATTTCCCTAGCAAGACACAAAGCAGCTCTCCACGGTAGCCTGGTGTGCCTGTGAGGTGAATGTGTTTTTCCTCTCTATTTTATCAATGCTCTTTGTTAACAGGTGAAAACCTGTCCTAAAGACTGGGCCCTTGTTGAAAAATTCAGCTCAATTTAGAAAGAAAGCCTTGGGGAACCCCCAGCCCTTAGCAGTCCCTAATGAATGTCCTAAAGGTCTGATCCTTTCCTCTGAGATCCCCCCTCCCCTTTTCTGACTTGAAGAGACAAGCAGTGCTGGGAGAAAATCGGGGTGGAAAGCTTCTGAAGTCAAATATCCCAAGCACCGCAAAGTACTCTCGCAAGGCCTTGTTATAATCATTGCTTGCTTCCCCCATATGTCTGGCCATCCAAAAGGTTTAAGGAGTAACTGATCTGATAGCCTGTATGTGCCATTGATTTGTTAAGCTGAAGGTTTTTTTTTTTTTTTTAAATCCTATTAACAATAGCGTTTGCAGAAGGAATGCAGATTAACCAGGTCTAATTGTATATCATTTGCATGAAGAATGAATTAAAAAGCAGCTTTGCAACACATTGACTCAGGATGTTATTGAGCCATTGAAGTCTTACGGCTGTGAGGGTTGGAGCTATTTAATTAGTGGGGGTGGGGTGTGTGGCTGGAGAGAAAATAGTGGAAAAGAGGTGTTTTAATCAACGAAGCAGAGAAATCACAACTGTTAGAAGATGAGAGATTATTCCTTTCAGGCAAATAACTCAACCAAATAAATCAAGGTCCAACTGTATGAGAACTTTGCCGAATGAAAATCTGGTATTTGAATTGAAGCGAGACAGTCATTTGGGAGAGTTTAATGCTGGTGCTTTCCCAGGGCCAGAGCTGTGGAGCCCTGCCTAGGGACTACCTTCAACCAGTGGCTCCAGCCAAATTTTTTTTTGTATTTTTTTTTTGTTTTGTTCAGTTCATGCAGCCCAGACTACATCTCAGAAGTCAGAGGGGATGCTCCTGCTGTCTCCCCTGGGTGTCCAACTGATCTCGTGGCCAAGGGTGAGGGTGCAAGGGTGCCTGCCCACGGGGCTCAGCAGAGCAAACCTGCCACAGAATCTGCAGGGAAGGAGCATTGGAGCTCATCATCAGGCTTGTGTAGTTGCTCCCAGATGCAGCATGGCATGAACAGCAACAGAAGAATTTGAGTAAGTGGGATGGGACCTCCCAACACTGTCCTTACCTGGCCCGAGGCTAGCAGGGTGACTAAAACACGTTATTTTGCCTCTCTGACCTGTTGAAGTTTCAGCTGTAGAAAGACTGTAGGCAGAAGAGAGAGGGCCTCTCTATGTGGCTTTAGGCAGGACTCAACATCTCTCATGTAAATAGCTCTGCTTTTCACCCCAGTTCTGCCTGATCATCAGTAAATAACAGAAGCTCTGGGTATCTGTTGTCTGCTGCACAGAGGGAGATCTGAGGTCAGGTAACAGTTATGGTGAAAGGATTGTGCACTTTCTTTCCTCTATCAGGTGCCACAGACACTACCCAAACCTCTCTTAATGTTTGCTGTTTGATTTCTGTACCTGGCATATGTTGGGTAACAGGTGCCTCATCTCAGTACTTTATTTCCCAAGATAGTATCTGTTAATAATAATAAAATTAACAGTAACAACTGCACATGGTTGAGGCAGAGTGTAGGGTTTTTTAAGGTCACAAGATCTTAGTTGCAGGGAAAATAATTGAATTCTAATCCTGGGGGAAAACAAATAGACCATTAAAAATGATGGATTAGTTATTCCCCTGACATATGCTTAAGATACATGTTGCGTACCCATATACTAAGTTTCCTGAACACATTGTTGAACCCAGCATCTTGCTTTGCTTGTTGGAAGGTCAGATTTTTATTTTTTTTAAAGGTATTCCTCATCGAAAACCTATCAAGAAGGCTGTGCTCTGAGATGTCAAACTGTCTTGTATCTAACCAGAAGGGGATAATTTGCTGGCAGATTACCCCCAGATTACCCCATACCAAGGTATGTCAGTCTAAGCCCTCAAATGTGATATACTGAAACTGAAGCTGACACATGATAACTGGACCACATGCGTATTGTGGGTGGGCTGCAAACCTTTATTATAGTGCCACTATTCAAAGGGATCAGAACATTTGAAATCGTACTGAAAGATCAGGGTTGCATTGAGGGCTGTTCTGCCTGAGGACAATAAGAGACAATTCATCAAATTCCATGAAAGTGACACTTGTGAAAATACTACTGGCAACTATTGTAGATGAATTACTTTTTTATTCACTGCAATACTAATTGTGTAAGTTTAAATTACACCATCATCAGCCAATCTGCAATTCAGCTAGCATATGAAACACAATATTTAAGGAAATAAGAAAGTGACACAGAATGACAACTTCCTAGAGAAAACTTGCAGGTCTACAAACGTGGATCATGGACCAAACCATATGACAATTAAAAAGTTATGTTGAATAACATTAATACTGTAATTTATCTTCAAGAAACAGTTTCTCTCTCTTTGCTTCAGACCATGAGCTGTGAATCAGACGATGTTTTCTTAACTGTCAATGTCAATAGAGAGAAGCTGCATGAATGTGGCTGATTTGTAGCATGGCCTTTACTGCTGACAAGGGGTGGATTTGAAACCACTTAACCTACAGTATTTCATGTAGGCCTACAGGCTGAAATCAAGCTGGGAGGGAAAAGCTTAAATGGAAGGACAGTGGGTTTTTTTGATGAATCAGGCAGCTCTCTTAAATCTTACAGTATTTTTTGACAGCACACTGTAGTAGCTGATTTTCAGTCTTACCTTTGTTTATAGCTTACATCTAGCTGGCTTGCACTGGAAGCTGCATTTGTCACTTTTGAAAAGGAGGCTTTGGGTTTGCTGTCATGAAGTCAGGGAGCTGTGGGGAAGCAGGACTGGAAGGACCCCAAGAAGCTGTGAAGTCCACCTTCCTGCACTGGGTACAGTCCAAAGGAAAGTAGGTCTTGACTGGTGGTGATCTCTATTTTTTGAAAAAGATGCCAGGACATTAAAGCCCCAAGTAGCCTGGTATACACTTATCATTCAAAACTTTCCCTGAATACTAAATCTGAGTCTAAGTTGCCAACTGAGCCAGCTGCTTCTTGTCCTGCCTCTCTGGGGCAGGAGAGCAACAGACCAGTGTCTGCTGTAAACCTTCTGCATGTCAGAAGATAGTGATTTGTACAAAACAGTCTCAATTTTTTTTCATACTCAGTAGGATATGTTCGTTATCTTTTATCTTCCTACCTCACTGTTCCTCTAGATTCCTTCCACTTTGTCTCCACTTTCTGCAAAGTGTTGTTCCTCCAGCTGTGGCCTCTGCTGTGCCAGGTGGTAGGTGATGATGATCATACACTGTGTTGTATACATGATGCCCCCCACAAGCAAGACCCATCCTTCTTGTGGTACCACCCTCCTCTCAACTCGTGCCTGATTTGTGGGCTGCTGGCTGCCCCCAGCCCTCTTCCCCAGTGCTGCTGCTGGGCACGTTGTGCCCACCGTTCCCCTCAGGGCAGCACTTGGCTTTGGCCTTAGTGACATTCAACCAATGGACCCTACTCTTCTCATTTCTTTTCTTTTCTTTGCAAGTCCATTTTTAATCCTGCAACACCTTGGAGATCCTGCCAAGCCTGTGGTTACTGCAGTTTTTAAAGTATATTCTATATCTCACCACTGAAGAAATTAATGTCATCCCAGAACAGCCCCTTGAATAGATGCTTTCTTTTCTCCCTTGGTGTTCCCTTCTGATTTGACAAGGACTGTTGATAATAATTTTTCTGAGCAGTGAAGCACCCGGGGAAGTCAGGCACTCCATTCTGGAGAACAGCAGTCTTTCCAGCTGCTCACAGTAATGCAAGTATAAACAGCTGGACAAGCAGGACAGGCAGACATTTATGATAAATACCTGCTTCTCTCCCCCTGCAAACATCATGGGGCATCCTGGTGATGTGTGCACACAATCCAAAATAAAGGATCCGGTTCCTCTCTTATGGTAAACTAAACATGAAATATTAAATATAAACATTAGAGTCTTACCCTGATCTTTAAAAAAAGAGTAAAATCCTTTGACATGCATACCTAAATTAGAGGCTTACACATAAATTATATAATATCCTAAAGAAAACCAAATTTAGTGCAGGAATAAATGGTGACTTTTGGTGCCAGTCAGTATTTATTTGCATCTCTAACAAAGAGAGTTAAATGTTGATTTGTTTAAAATCTGAATGAAGCTTCAGCTATGCAGTTACTAAGGACACCTCCATAGAATATTATTCTTATATGCACATTAAATGCCCTCCACATTAAATGCACACACTAAGACAGACATGCACACAGATCGATGTATAAGCTTCATATTTTCTCTTGCGATAATCTGCTAAGAATGCTGTGGAATCTGTTACATCCTCTTTAATATTTGTAGTTGGTTTTGAACCATTTTTCTGTTTGTTTGCTTATATCCTGTCTTGTAAATCATCTGTTATTTCTTAAATTTAGCTTTCTCTGTTAAAGAGGCATGTATTTTGCCAGCAGGCTGTGACTACCCTTATCCTTCCTGCTAGCAAAATATACACCTTTCTGTGATGTGAAGTAAAAAGAAGAGCATCAAAATTGAGACAAGGGCATCTGAAAAGAAAGAAACTAAGAAATTTTCAATAGATTTCTTTTTCAAAAGAATACTGAAATGTATCTCACCTTCAATATTATCAGAAATTTTTTTAGATGTTAGCTGCTATTAACAAATGCTACTTTCACTTGGGCATGACACAAATAGAGAGACAAGGCCGAAGTGTGCAGTTAATTAAAGGCAAAGGGAAATGTTGAGAAATGGTTCAAATAAACCTGAGAGGCTCCTGTGCAGGACAGACTCTTAGTGCCTGGGTCATGCTTTGTACACACCAATTGAGTCTGCATCAACTATAACAAAAAATCCATACACCTATGTTATTTTTCATTTAGAGCTTATAACAGCAATAATGACCTTGGTACAGGACATTTTCTGGAGATTAATGACAAAGTGGGGTTAATGGTCCTTGACTGCACCTTGAGCCATCAGTGCCTCTCAAATGGTTATTAATCCCCAGGGGTAAGACTGCATCTCCATAGTGAATTTTAGATATTATTTTAATCAATACAGGTTTACGCACACTGACAGCTGAATGTATCACTCATAAATTCTGCTATTACCATGTAAATAATTTTAAATATTAAGTAGCAATATTCTGATATATATTATGCGTCCACCTAAAGGCCCGGTGGTTTCCATCACATTTGATTTCCATTTTTTAAAAACACTTTTCTCTTCCTCTCCCACATACACAGAAGAAATGGTGTCATGAAACCTTGTGTTCAGAGGTTATTCAAAGTCAGGCTACAAACAGACATGCAAGGGGGTTGCCATTCAGTCTTTTTTTTCTGTTCTTGCAATACCCATTTATTGCGGTGTATTTGATTTGATATGTACAACCTTCTCCTTTTGAGAACCCTGTAATACTTGGGTATTGATACTGTATGCCTCTGAGTTGCAGATGTCACATATTTTTTTCTGAAATATCTTCTGCCTATCACTGCATTATTTTTTTAAATGGCACAAATGCCACCTCAAGATTTTAAACTAGCAATGGTTATTAAAATACCTTTTTTCTTTTTCTGACACAGGGAAATGTGAAGACTACTGTTTGCTTTCCTTTCTGGAAAAATATGACAGAATCTTTACCGGTTCTGAACAGATGTTACAGGCAGCAGAGCAGAGGGAATGAGAGCAGGCACTGAATTTTAGACTGTTTTAGTGCATGCGTGATAGTGGTGATGGGAAGCCAAGGGTCACTAGATTTGGAGCCGACCTCAGCAAAGCACTTCAGCTCTCACTCCCTTACCTGCACGTGCTTTGTTTCGTTCCAAGCCTGTAAGCATCCTTGGTTCCTGAGAGGTTGTGCTGGATCGCTCATTACCAACAGGGAGCAGCCAGGCAGCTGGGGGACACCTCCTGCTGCCTTCAGAATTCAAGAAGGGCCACAAAAGTAATCCATGCCACAGAGGAGTCCAAATCTGTGTTCATATGAAGTAGCTCAGCTTCCTAAAACCTGTGAGGGTCCCCCCACATGAGCTTCCCTTTCACAAGAATGGGCTACCTCATGACAGGAATGTAAGGCGGATGCCTCAGATGTGTGAAAGCTGTTTGTGCTCACATCTAAGCAACCACTGAGCAGCAATTTCTCCTCTGTCCAACTGTTTATAGAGGACCAAATTCTCACATGATTTCAGTCAGCAGCTAAGATTTTCATGAGTGGAAATTTGGTCCACAGCCTTTGATTTTCATGTTATGCAATTTTATGACTTTTTATTCCAGTAAAACATGTCTGGCTGCTCCAAACTGCTTGTTCCGATAGCATAAGGAGATTAAGGGGGAAAAGTGTTTTGTAGTGCATTTCAGTACAAAAAGTATAGCTAGAATATTGATCAGTAGCGTATAGCTGTCTTTGTATTGTCTTTGTATTTGTGTAATGATAAATACCTGAGATTTGTTGATAAATGTCTTCATTTTCCAGACTCAATTACCATCATTCAATTAATCAGATTTTCTAGTTAGCACATTGCATGAGAATGCAGCCCCTGCATTCAGACACACAAATGAGTGAAAATAACTTCTTGGTTTGAGATCCATGTGTCAGTATCTGTCAAATTGTCAACTAATTTTAAATTTTAATTAGCTGTAAATTTTTTAAGTTTCTCAATGCTTTCATTCCAGACAGAGCTCAGGCCGTCTCTAGCCTTGGGCTGCAGATTCCCTCTGTACCCTGTTCGCTCCAACACTGCTCAGCTCAGTGTAACAGCGGCAGGATCTGACCCGTATAGTCGAATGTGTGGTGACCCAGGAAAACTGGAGCTGGACATTTTTCCAACAGAGAAACAGGAG